TTTCAGCCAGACATCACTGGCTGAAATCGAATGATTGATCCCTCTGGGATCAAACGGTGTCACCCGCGGGTCGGCGGGAGTGCGTGCACCCCCTGCCCGCGAAAACGTCGGGAGCGCGGAGCCCGTTTTAAAACGCGCTTCTGCGCCCCAGTGCCCGCACCCTGCACACGTATATATGCAGTGGCAGGGCGGCAAGTGGTTAACAAAGCGTGATTGACCACTCTTAACAGGGGGTCATGCCTTTCTGGTAAGCCTTCTGTAGTAGTGGTTGGTGACACAACTGTCCTTGGATTTCTTTTGTTTCATCACTGCCTCTAGGACTTTTATTTCTGGATGGACTATTTTTTTGACACATTTTGTTACTGTTTTCTTGTGATTATTTGTAACTTTTTAAGCGCTGCACTTTTATGTATTTATTTATACTTAAATACTAACTTTGGTCTCCTGAAGATATGTCCATACTGCGAGCAGGCCAGGCCGACGGTGGGGGTGTAGACGATGGGCATCAACCTCTCAATATCATCCTGTAATACTCTGTAGAAGAGCTTCTCGTTCCTCTCCTGAATCCCCATTATGTAGATGTATCTGGAACAGACAAGCAAATGTAAGACCCTCTGGCTTGCAGAGAAATAAAACCAGAACTCCAGACCAAAATCAATGAAATGGTCCAGCGAAAAAAAAAAAAAGAATAAAATGTGAAGGTATATACAGTAGGAGAGGAAACAATGGCAGAAAGTCTATTTAGGCAAGCCATAGACGAGTCGCAAACTGAATGTTCCGATGATTGAAAAAACAAAAATGGCACATACAATTGCTCCATCATTTGTTTCAGTTTTAGAAACAAAATCCAGCATGTTGGAACAGGCACTTTCGATTGCAACACGAAAATCACATGCCACAGCTGGCACACTAATGATACAAAAAAAGGCAAAAAACAAATTACCAAGAATTTTCATAGTTTTCGACTTTAGACTAGCTTAAAAAAAAAAAAATCGGTCAGTACCAAAAGTAAAAAATAGAAAAAAAATGCAGGTACTTAGAGGTGCCTCCTTATATCTTCAGCAGCCTCCTAAACCCTATCTTTAAGGCCATACTGATAGGTAAAAGTCCTTTCTGATGCTGAAAATTGCCCATTCCTTAAAATGATGCTAAACTCACACTGTTTAATTTACATTAAATATGTGTATATTTGTATATATGTGTATATTTGTATATATGTATATTTTTATTATGTGGATATTTGTATATGTGGATATTTGTATATATGTGTATATTTGTGTATATATGTATATATTATATTTATATATGTGGATATTTGTATATATGTGTATATTTGTATATATGTGTATATTTGTATATATGTATATTTATGTATATATGTGGATATATGTATGTGGATGATGGCGTTGTAATTATTTTAATTTAAAAAAAAAAAAAAAAGCCTTTTTCCTAATCAATATACAGATGTCACATGACCCAGCTCTTTCCCAGCCTGTCTGCAGGGAAACATAAGCAGGAGGAGCTTCTAGTCCTCTGCTACTAGTCACACGTTTGCAATAAAAAAATAAATTATATCAATAAACAGTTTTAAATTGTCATACAAATATATATTTGAAATCAAATCTTTATTATTTTTTGGCAATAATATGGTGCGGGCACATTTCTGCCAATTGCAGGCTGTGTCACACCTCTCCAGCCTCTGTCTTAGGATAACAGGGTGGTGAAGCCTTCATCAGTCAAGATGTAATATCTCACCCTCATTATGCTTAGCGGGCAAGAAGGAGGGAGGGAGTGGGCTGTCATTTACCACTGTGTATACGCCCACTCTATAGTCACATGGGCTGCTCAGATATAATAGGAAGGAAATGTTCAGCAAACTGAAAACTGATCATGTGCAGAGCTGCCAACACCGCTCTGCAAAATCTCTAGCTACAGTGGGGACAGGGACAGAAGGGGTAGAGACAGAACAGCTTTTTTGCAGAATACAGGAGACGAATCTCACGAGTGTGAACAGCATGTAATACAACATTTATTGATAGTTGTATATGATGTGGGGTTAGTGATACTTCAATGCATATCCCGAATAACCAGTAAGGCAGCCTAGAATACTGATGGGCCAACAGGAAAATATTTAAACTATTCGTTTGATTTTTTAATTTTCTTCCCTCATTCTTCCTGTTATAAAAACCAGTCACTGCTGCTCCCTCTCCTTGTGCAAGGCAACTGGTCTGGTCTCCGCCCCCCTCCTGCACTTTTCCCCAGGCAGTCTGTAGTGGATGGGACCTGCTGGGCCCCTCCCACAGCTCTGCTCTCTGCACAGGCAATGCACAGCACAGTGAGGATATCACTGATACTTTTACAAGGTAATATCTGGGTTTACAAAGGCATTTAGTGCCCACAAAGTGGATATTTATATATCATTTGTGCTGATTTCGGAATATATTTTTGTGCCTGGAGCTCAGCTTTGTACAGGCAGTAGGTGTGCAAGCACTCTGAAAACATTTGGATTATTGATCTGCATTTCTATGGCTTAAAATAACACACCGCCTTTCATGGAAACGTATACACTGGCCTCATGGCAACTGCAAGCAATGACTACAGTGTAATGGATTTTCCATCTGACCTTCACGTCCTTCACAATCCTTTACTATTAACCCATTGCTAAGCCCAAAGCAAACACCCGTCTTCATCCAACACCACGTAGCGGCCCCAAAAGCCTGTGCACACTACAGCATACTTCTCCAGGGGGTCCTCCATCTTTCTCAGGTTTTTGTGGAATCTGGCCGCCTGGATGTCCTGGGTCTCAATCTTGGAGGGTAACAAACCTTGTAATCCAAGGATCTGCCTTTCCTGCAGGGTGAATGCCATTCCCTAAACAGACAGAAGAAGATTAGAGGTTGGCTGGTTAGCTGAAACATATGAAAGTCATACAGCTAGGTTCACACCGATGCACTGCAATGCGAATGAGTTTTCTAGTGCGATTTCAAGGATCACGTCCAGTGCGCCTTGATGCTGTGATTCCAAAGCATTTTGAATGCAATTTGGATTTATGGCCTGGGGTCTCCTTCCTTCCTTTAAAAGCAGGTTAGAAACACAACACGGACTTTTACAAAATCGCACTGGAATTGCATTATCTATGAACAGCTATGCATCTCGCCTGCGGTTTCCATTCAACTATTTTGAGTTCAAAATCGCACCGCACCAAAGAGGCACATTTTTTAAAAAATACCCGTGGAAGTCACGAGGTTGGTGACGGAACGCGTAGGTACGCCATGACGCAGCTCCCGGAGCGCGGTGACGCACTTCCGGCGTCGGACGCCATTTTGAGGAACCTGAAAGTCCCCTATTTCATGCAGTATACTTAGGCATGAGGGATCTGCTGTTGCTGATACAGTTTTAATGTGACGGGGCATTTTTATTTGGTTTAAATAAAATATTTATGATCACCTACTACACAATGGAAGACTTTTTTCTCTCGCCCTGTGGGGTGTGAGATATTTTTTAACAGAAAACCTTCCTGTGAAGCCTGTTTTTCATTTGGAGAGGAACCACAGGTCCCAGAATCACCTGCCATAGTTGGAGTAGGATCCTGGGAGATCCTGAAAGTGAAGTGGCCCGATGGGTCGCAGAGGGGAGGTGAGGAGGCAATCTAGCCATTTGAGGATCTGAGTGTGCCGACACATTCACAGCCACCTATACCACACTATGTTGCATGGTGCTTGAAGCACAAGTTTATGGACATTGTTTTGGATTCATGTTGTATTTGATCACGTTTGTTCACTTAATACCCTATTTAGGGGTTCTTCTGATTTATTATTTAGTTGTCACATGATTTTTAGTTGTTGCATTAATCACTGCATATAGAGCACCAAGTTGGTACATTATGCACTGCATATAGAGCACCAAGATTTGGTCACTGCATATGCATAAGTTGGTACATTTTTTGTGGCACCAAGATTTTTGATATATTTATCATTTTGGGTTTTATTTATTGGATGGGGGGTTATCAGAGCGCTATAGTTGTTTGTATTGTTGATCACTGTTAAGGTATCAGTTTGAGTGTCAGCTGCTGTATGTTGGAGGTTACTTCCATAAGCGCAGGAGGATTGTTTAACATTTTTTAAAAAATCTCATCGCATTCAGGCTGTATATAGGTGAACAGCCTCCATAGAAGAACATGTTATTTCACTTGTCATACAATTCCATGCGTTCTGGAATGCATCTAAAAATCACATCAGTGTGAACCAGGGCTAAAAGGGAAGATACTGTATATTTTTTTGTACAAAGTAACAGGTTTGCTTGCAATTTACTCTTGTGAATGGGGCCATTCGTAATTGGCTGCAGGACACAGCACAGCAGCTAAATGGTTAACACTTCTGCCTAGCAGTACTAGGGTTGTTGGTTCAAATCCCAGCCATGGCACCACCTGCCTGGAGTTTCCATGTTCTCCCTGTGCCTGCGTGGGGTTTCCTCCGGGTACTCTGGCTTCCTCCAACACTCCAAAGACATGCTGGTAGGTTAATTGGCTCCTGTCTAAATTGCCCCAGTATGTGTATGTATGAATGTGAGTTAGGGACCTTAGATTGTACGCCCCTTGAGGGTTAGGGACTGATGTGAATGTACAATATATATGTAAAGTGCTGCGTAAATTGACGCGCTATATAAGTACCTGAAATAAATAAATACCTGGTGGGGGCTTTCTTTAATTAGCTGTGGGAGCTTTTAGACACCCATTGCTTTCAATGGAGCTTCCAGCCCACAGCTAATCACAGGAAGCCCCCGTTAGGTCTCCCACAACTAATTGCAAATGGCCCCGTTCGCAAGTGTGAAGGAGGCCTTACCCCACTTTCCCAACACAACAGTCATCTTTTTTTTTTTTGTCCCCTACCAATCTGTTCAGCCACCGGGAGGGAAGACAGGAGGCCCCGTGAAATCTCTAGTCAGCTATTCTAGGCGGCTGGACGGAGCAGTGGGGGAGTGAAGGAAAGACTATGGGGGAGATTTACGAAAACTGAAGCACACAGAATCTGGTGCAGCTGTGCATGATAACCAATCAGCTTCCAGGTTTAATTGTCATAGCTTAAAGTGTTACTAAACCCCGGACCCTGCATGCACTATATCTGGTCCCCCCGGACCCTGCATGCACTATATCCTGGTCCCCCCCCGGACCCTGCATGCACTATATCTGGTCCCCCCGGACCCTGCATGCACTATATCCGCTCCCCCGGACCCTGTCACTATATCCCCTCCCCGGACCCTGCATTCACTATATCCGGTCTCCCCAGACCCTGCATTCACTATATCCGTCTCCCCAGACCCTGCATTCACTATATCCGGTCTCCCCAGACCCTGCATTCACTATATCGGTCTCCCAGACCCTGCATTCACTATATCCGGTCTCCCCGGACCCTGCATTCACTATATCCGGTCTCCCCAGACCCTGCATTCACTATATCCGGTCTCCCCGGACCCTGCATTCACTATATCTCGGTCTCCCCGGACCCTGCATTCACTATATCCGGTCTCCCCGGACCCTGCATTCACTATATCTATATCCCCGGACCCGGCATTCACTATATCTGGTCTCCCCGGACCCTGCATTCACTATATCTGGTCTCCCGGACCCCCGGTCTCCCCGGACCCTGCATTCACTATATCGCTCTCCCCGGACCCTGCATTCACTATATCTGGTCTCCCCGGACCCTGCATGCACTATATCCGCTCTCCCACAGTACACAGACATGGAAATGTAATTATTTTAGTAAATATAAACTGCTAAATACATTTTGTCATCAGCAGTTAGAGTAGTCTTGTGACTTCTATCAGTGTCTAGCAGAGCACTGGTTAAAACTTATAGGAGAAGAGGTTTTCATTTTGCTCTAGGAGGACGCAGAACCCCTGACCTCTGTCTGGACAGTGCTGATTGGCCCTGTGATGGTCACATGCACTCTCCAAAAAAAAAAAAAAAAAAACTTCTCTAGAAATACACACCAAATTGAGCATGTGCAGAGTGTCTCCACACCATATGTCTTACCAGGAGAGAAAGAGGGGGACACTGGATGAGGGGGAGGATCAGAGAAGTTAAGATTAAACAGTCTTTTTACACAATGCAGGGGATTAACCCCTTAGGTTCCACAGTGAGTATAACAAGCATGCTTTACTGCATATACAGACTGATTTTACTTTTCTTGGGTTTAGTAACACTTTATTTGAACAAGAAGAAGTTAAAAAATGGAGGAAGCAGTTATCAACGGGACTGACCTCAGTATACAATAGTCTGACCAGTAAGATAACAGCTTCTGGTATACTGCTATGGGATGGAACCGCAGTTTAGTGGTTGTGCTTTGCAGCACTGGAGTGCTTGGTCCCAATCTCGGACAGAACATTATCTGCATCGAGTTTGCATGTTCTTCGTGTGTGTGGGTTTCCTCCAGGTACTTCGGTTTCCTCCCACACTCCAAAGATATGCTGTTAGATTAACTGGCTCATGTCTAAACTGAACGTAGTATGTGTGTATAAACTGTCTATACACATTCTGCATGCCGTTCCCAAGGAAACCAATTGGGGAAAGTTAAAAAAAAAAAAAAAAAGACATAGTGATCTACCTTGTAAAAAAAAAAAAAAATTGCCAAGAAAACTCAATGAAAAGTCTTTCAAGTGTACCAGACGTGATGCCCAGGGAGCCATCTTACAAAGTGTCAGATACGAATGATCAGATATATACTGTACAGGTATGAGTTACTGCCCTTATTATCGCCCCAATAAGGCCACACGGGGTGACAAGGGTGGACTATTCCCGGGGAATTCCAGTAAAGCTCCTCACCTTGTTGGTCCTTGGATTAAGCAGAAGCGCCTTGCCCTTCTCTTTGGTGTGTATGGCGCGCCGTGCCGCAGTGCCCACATTGACCAGGACTCGAAGTCTCGACAGCATGTTGAAAACCTGAGAACAGCAGGAGGAAATGGAAACAGATTTGTAATTGGAATCACTAAATAAATGTGTCTTCTTGATTCTATAGATCACACAAGAATATAAAAGGACATAGCAGAGACTGTACGTGTATGCGGTGGAGGCAGAGGTGGCACCAAAAAGTATTTTTTGATTAACATGAGGCTCATCTACTGGTAGAAGTTAAAGGTTACACAATATAATTTAAAGCGGATCTCCACCCTTTCAATGGACTTGGCTCCTCTCCACTGCAAATTTGTATCTCTTTTTTAACTTACTTTCTTGCAGATTCAGTGTGGGCCCACCCTCTATCCTCCATCATTCACCCAGACAAATGACGTCATTTTCCCTGTTGCCTCCTGGGATATATGATGTACATATCCCAGGAGGCACCGGGAGCCCTGCACGTCACCCTGTTCACTAAAGGAGGAGGGGCACACTCTAGTGGCGCGACATCACGCCGGCTCCTCCGAGTTCTCCCAATGATGCACCACTAAGCCCACCCCCTTCCCCAATAGTGAATGGGGTGAGGTGCAGGGCTCCCAATGGCTCCTGGGATATGTACATCACATTCAGTTTGGGCCCACCCTCTATCCTCCGTCAGACAAATGACGTCATTGCCCCCACCCCATTGCCTCTTGGGATATGTGATGTACATATTCCAGGAGGTACCAGGAGCCTTGCACATCACCCTATTTACTAATGGAGGAGGGCATTCCTAGCGGCGCATCATCACGCTGGCTCCTCCAGGTTCTGGTGCAGCCTCCTAATGATGCGATCCTGGGATATGTACATCACATTCAGTTTGGGCCCACCCCCTATCTTCCGTCATTTGCCCCGACAAATGACGTCATTGTCCCCATTGCCTCCTGGGATATGTGAGGTACATATCCCAGGAGGCACCAGGAGCCCTGCACGTCACCCTGTTGACTAATGGAGAAAGGCATTCCCAGTGGAGCATCATCTCGTTGCCTCCTCCAGGTTCTGGCGCAGCCTCCAGATGATGCACCACTAGACCCACTTCCCTTCTCCAATAGTGAATGGGGTGAGGTGCAGGGGCTCCCGATGGCTCCTGAGATATGTACATCACATTCAGTTTGGGCCCACCCCTATCCTCCGTCATTCGCCCAAATTGACATTATTGTCCCCGTTGCCTTCTGGGATATGTGATGTACATATCCCAGGAGGCACCAGGAGCCCTGCGCGTCACCCTATTCACTAATGGAGGAGGGCATTCCTAGTGGCGCATCATCACGCTGGTTCCTCCAGTTCTGGCGCAGCCTCTTAATGATGTGCTGCTAGAACAACCCTTCCTCTGTTAGTGAATGGGGTTAAGTGCAGGGCTCCCAAAGCCTCCATTAAAAGGGTGAATATCCGCTGCATGTCACCCCATTCACTAAACGGAGGAGAGGGGCCACCCTAGGGGGCGCCACGGGGAGGCTGCTCCAGAACTCGGAAGAAACGGCGCAGTCTCCCAATGATGTCACATGGGTATGTGGTGGTGAAGGACCCAATGGTGGTTGCAGAGAAGAGGATCTCAGCAGGACAACGTTGGCCACCCTAGCATCAGGTAAGCAGAAAAAATAAATAAATACAAATAATAATAATAATTGGAGGGGAACAGAATAGCAATGGCAGAAAAAAAGACCAAGAGGTCCATAGAGTCTGCCCCATTTTCTTTATTTTTCATTGAATTTGTTTATTTTGACTTTTTTTTTTTGTATAAAACCAGACCAGAGATGAGCCGGAAACCAAACAAAATTTGTGTTAATTGTCGAATTGCTCATTAGTGTTCCAACTGTGGCACACGATTTTCATGCCCCAATCAAAAGTGCCTGATCAAACATGCAGCCCTTTTTTTTTTTTTCTTCAAGAAAAACTAAACAAATTATGGCACAATCGTATGCGCCATTTTCGTTTTTCCGACCGACATTGAACATTTGGTTTTCGACTTATATATGACCGTCTTAAGTATAGATCTACAGACCAAACATGGCATGTCTGAATGCATTCACCGTCAACGGACTTACCACCTCTGTTGCCAGTCTATGCCAAGAATCAACTACTCTTTTGGCAAAATGACCCAAATATTTACATTTCACTTCAACATATACCCACACCAGCGCTCAGATCTTCAAGCTACACAGTTAAAGTTGATCCAGGGAATATCCGATTGCCTCTCGGGGGATCAGGAAAGAATTTCTTTCCCTGCAGGAGCAAATTGGATCATGCTTTGCTGGGTTTTTTTTTTTTGCCTTCCTCTGGATCAACTGTGGGTGTAGGATTATAACTTTTTTTTTTTTAACCACTTCCAGTCCGGACACTTTTACCCCCTTCCTGCCCAGGGCAATTTTCAGCTTTCAGCGCTATCACACTTTGAATGACAATTGCGCAGTCATGCAACACTGTACAAATATGAATTTTTTAGCATTTTTTTGAGACAGATAAAGCTTTATTTTGGCGGTATTTATTCACTGCTGGGATTTTTATTTTTTTTCCTATGTAAATGAAAAGTCCAAAAATTTTTGAAAACAGTGTTTTTCTTATAAAATTTTGCAAATAAATAATATTTAATCGTGAATCTTGGCCAAAATTTATTCCGTTATTTTTTTAGTAAAAAAAAAAATAACCCAAATTAGTTTATAACCAAAAATTATAATTTTTTTAAACATTTTTTTAAAAATGTTTTTATATTATTATTTATTTTTTTTTTACATACTGTCACCCTAGCAGTACAGTGTCACAGTGGTGACACTGTACTACTGGTGGTGGTTTGATGAAGATTTTTGTTTTTACACTGATTGCTTTTACACACCAATAAAGGCTATAAAAGCAATCATTTTTCCTTCTCTCTGTGTGCATTCTTAAAGCCATTAAGAAATACTGTGTGAGCTGTGATTGGTCACAGCTTGTCACATGGTAAAAGTCTGTTGTGAATAGCCTTGTACCATGTGACCTCTGTGATCATTCACAGATTTCACACTTAGCAAGCAATGATGTCACAAGTGACATCTTGCTTACTACTCTGCATGTGATCACTGATTGGCCAATCAGGGATCACGTTTATAAAAGACTCGCCAGAGGTCCCTGCACTGACCACCGTGTTCCGGAGGGACACAGCTTATATACAAGATCGTGGTGGGCGTGCTCCCAATGGTTGCACAAGCAGGGTGCTTTTGCCATTTTAAACGGCCACCCGACCCTGCACTGCCACCAGAAAACTGCCGTTTATAGACAACGGTCGGATGGGAGTGGTTAATGGTTGAACAGGATGGACTTTTGTCTTTTTTCAGCCAGACTAACTACGTAACAAAAAACACGGAATCAGACACATCGCTGAGGTGCAGCCCTCAATAGATCGCATTACAGATGCACTTACATCCACACTAGGAACGTTTCATACTATATAAGGGATCTGATCCGTTTACCTGGAACGCCATTTATTGATATATGATAGTCATTAATATATGGTGTATATTACATGTTCATTTGAGTCCAAGAGAACTCCTGTTTTGGGCGTTACCTGTTGGACTGCACCCTTCCTTTTGCTCAGGGGGGGGGGGGGGGGGGGGGGGGGGGGGTTGAGGTTGGGTTTCCATTATCATTTGGTCTCTTATATAAGAACCATCAATATTCACTTCATTTTCTGCTCAGAAGAAGAGAGTGCAACTCCCGAAAACGCGTTAGCACATTCCACCCAAGGACCTCCGCTGTCCATGACTGTCATCTTTGGCTGCTTGTCTCTGTTTTTATGACCTTTTTATTTGTGAGTTTGCATTTGT